AAATGAGCCAAAAAAGAGATTTAACTCAGACTGAGAAGTCAAAAATGATTAAATCCCCTTGAGAAATATTAAAAACTAATGCAATACAGAAATTTCAAAGTTAAGGCATGACCATTGGTCAGCAAGATGCTCATTGGGTCAGCGGGGTCAGTACTTCGCTTGGGTAAAAAAACCTAAAAAATGACCTCTACTAAATAAGAATAACATTCTGAAGTGTGAAATACATTGAAATACAATAAAAATGAACTCCCAAAACTTAATGCAACATGGAGCAAAGGAGAAAAATTTAGAACTTGAAAAATAGAAAAAACCGCTTAGTGAAAAGCGTTTACGGTTTAACAGCAAATAGAAAGTCCTATTTTTTTATTTATTTTCTTTATATTCTTTTAAAAAATACAACTCTTAGTTCATGTTAGCTCATTAAATAACAAAGTTGCAACATTTGATTTTAACAACGTGTTATTAAATATTGGAATTACCTAAGATTCATGAATGTTTAGAAGATTTTTTTCATTGGCAGTTTGTTAACTAATGAATTAACTAATGTCAACTAATGAAGCCCTAATGTAAAGTGTTACTGAACAATAAAGAATTAAAACAGTATTTGATGAACACCATAGTGAACACACAAATATGAATGGCTATTTAAATCATTTAAACACGTTTCAGAAACAGAAAGTAGCGCAGATGCTTTGATTACAGAGTTTCCCGGGGTAACAGCTGCATTTCTGCTGTTCAGCGCCATCTTCTGTCAGAGGCCCCGTTTACACTAGTGTGTTTTCGTTTTAAAATGCATAACTTTTGCTACGGTTACACCGTTTTAAAACGAAAACACACTAGTGTAAACCGGTCCAGAGAGTGAATGTGCTTTCATTCAGAGCGTCTCTCATGCAATCCGCCATGTGCTTCTCATCCGTGCTTGTTTACATCAGAGTGCACACACGTCTCTGATGCGTCTCTTGTTTATCAGAGTGCACACGCAAACAACGGTGTTGTGCATTGTGACCAGTTGATGTGAAAAGTATTCTTAAAATGCATTCCAATTTTTTAATAATTTGTAATAATTATTCTCTGTATTTTGAAGTGCCCACGATAACAATATTGTGCATATTCATTATCGCATTACCGAATACCGCACATGTCTAGTTGGCAGAGAATTAAATTGCATTTCCAATAAACCCATCTGCTGTTTTATATTTACATTATATTCACACACGCATATATATATATATATATATATAAACATCATTTGTAGCCCAGTAATCACATTAAGCTTTGTTACTTTTTATATGAAACTTATATGAAATTTATATGAAATCTCAGCTTTCAAATTCTGTTAATTACCGTTTTGACACATTTGATGTGGCATGACAGATCGCTGTAGCCACCTCAGTTTAAGCTGCAACACTGGGCACATGTGTAGCGATCATCTCTTCCTCTTTACTACTAGTTATAGCATGGAATAAACATCTGAAGGTTTGAGGTATAATACAGAGCAACTTGCTGAAATGTATCATGTCTCCTGTAAGGAGTGTTTCAACTACTGAAAGATTCAAAGTCCATAGCTTGTCCATAACTATTCATTCATTATATTCATTAAATTTTTACCTATCCTAGATGACCTAGTATGTTAATAAATCTGTCATAAAAATAAGTTTTTTATGAAACACAATTCAACAACGAATTGGAGTAGAAACTAAATTATATCATTAAAAAGCTGATTTAAAAACGGGCTCATGTACAATTTAAATGTTTGTATTCAACTAGTTTTTATTTTGTTGATTACATTTAAAAATAAATTGCAATTAAATTTAATATTTTGGATTCTGTTTTTAATTGAAAACCTCTAACATTATAGTATGTATCAACTGACAGGGTTATCTGTAGAGTTTACAGCATTAGTTGAGAGATTGATACCCGGTATATATCCAGAAAAATTTATATCAAATCAAATTCATTAAATCTGTGTCAATATCCAGCTCTAGTGTCTTGCAAAAAGAAAAATGACCAGAAAAAGTCTTAGGTCATGCGCCGTGCCAAAACATTGCCAGTCACAGTTTCAGCGTGGGTAGTCCAATCTTGAATATTTGTCTTCTCATTGCGTCATCTGTGTGATTTAAAGGATACACGTTGCCTCTGCTTCTGTGAGAATTGTCTTGTTGAAGGAATCTGAAAATAACTGGCTGCTTTTCAGTTGTTGTTAATTGAGGGCAGATTAGAAATAAAATGTTTTATTTTCATAGAAATCCAGCCCAACCACAGACTCCGAGTAACTGGATGGACATGAACAGTTTGGGGAAAGCTCACAGTGCCTCCAATAATAGAGATGGCCGTCTGAACACAGAATGTGAAATCAATAACCGCTCAGCAGCCAACCTTCGCAGTCTCAACGTCCCTTCATTCATAGGTCAGACCTCACAACCTTTCAAATCTAGAAATAGTCACTGTTGTGCAATATCTGTCGACACAGTCGGTCTTTGTATCAATTTATTGACCTAAAATTAAAAACAAGCTGTGCTGACAAAACTATCAACCTATTAACTATTTATTTTATTTTCATTATCACTTTAGAATGCCAATTCAATCGGGACAGGCCTTGTGATGGTGTTAAAGATGAGGGTGATGATGAGGCACTGGAGGAAGATGATGGGGCAAGAGGAGGCAGAGACTGTGACGGTTCAGGCTCCAGTCATAGAAGCAGTCTAGGTGGTGACACAGATTATGCTCAGAAAGTCCGTCGTCTTCAAACAGCCAAACAGAAACTCCGACAACTCCAAGAACTGGTGGCCATGGTGCAGGTGAGAGTCTGGAGCCATGAGGCTGATGTGAGGTTCTGGTTATTCATAATGCAGAGCCGCCAACCTCTACACAGACTGCTGAGAACATCACATCTGTCAAGAAGCAGCTAACAACACTTTTTTTTTTCTTTACCTTGCTACCTAATCGAGTTGTTTATTAGTAAACCTGTCATTGTATGTTATGAATACTGTTGGCTCTTGGATGAATTGCTTCTGTTCTTTTTTGTAAGTTGTTTTGGATGAAAGCATCTGCTAAATGCATAAATATAATATCAATGCAAATATAGTGTGAGTGTAGCTTGTATAAGCAAACACTTTTTTTCAGATTCTCCTGTCTGCTTTTTCTTTATTATGCTTTCTTTTGCCAACCTGTTAAAGACTGTTTCTATTTGTCTGTTAATGTTACTGTAGAGTGATGATACAGATGGTACTACAGCTAATGAGGATGAGGGTTTGCAGCAACAACCCAATAACACCCGAGCAACAGCTCCCAAAGGCCAGAGAGACCTCGCCCTCTCTGAAAAGACCAGGTAAGTGTATATTTCTCATATGGAAATGAGATATTTGCTTGCATTTTCAGTTCATATTGTGTTGTTTGTAAACTTGCTTTAATATCATGCTGTAGCATGTTTTTGCAAAGTGTCTTTTGTTGAACAGCTTGTATAATACCAGTTTTTTTTAGAGAGAAATTGTATGAGGAGAAACTCAAGCAGCAGCAGCAGGAACTTAAGCATCTACATGAAGAGAGACGGAGACTGATGGAGATTCAGGGCAAGATACAGGACTTACAATGGGCTTGTCCTGACCTGCAGGTACTTCAAATGTGCACTTTTTTTTGCGCATGTTACTCTCATAGACACAAACAACTGCTGAGACAGTCTTATTTAATTTAATCATGTGTCCTGTCAGTCGTCTGTGAGCAGTAGTGTCAGTGGACAGATGAAGAAGATTCCTGCAGCAGCCTCTACTCCTGCTCCTGTACCGTTACACTCCTCTTCCTCCGCTAAAGCCAACACAAGTGGCCTCAAACCCACCACTGAACCTCCTCCAGTTACTGTCACTGACAATGAGGTTAGTGTGCATTTGAAATAGCAGTTTTGCTTCCTTTCTATATCAGGAAGGGTTTTCAAGGGATAGTTCACCCAAAAATTTAAATTGTCATCTTTTACGGTATGGTTGTTTGGTCCGCACCCGAGAGCGATTTCTGTATTCACACCTGTTCCAAAGATCCGCACCAAGGGAGGAAACGAACTTGAGTTAGATTCAATCGAACCAAACAAGACAGGTGTGAATACACCCTCAGATTTGTTTGCAGAAAGGTGAAAGAAGTCCAAGGTTTATTTAAATCCATTTTTATCAAAGGTTTTTTGTTTTTTTGTATTAGCTGTGGTCGGAGATGCGAAGGCATCAGATGTTGCGTGAGGAGTTGAGACAGAGGCGGAAGCATTTGGAGAGTCTGATGGCAGAACAGCAGAGGAGAAGCACACTCAACGATTCTTCATTCAGGAGTGACACACATGAGACCCAGTCCTACAGCCGTGATGAAAGGTAACACATGGCCTTGACAACTCATGGCTTAGTGTTTCAAAATGTTTTAAATATGTGCTGCGAGGATTGAATTTGTTTAAAGGTGCTAATCATCATTTTTCTATCAGAACCGTGGCCACCTGGGGTGGTTCGACACAGTGTCCCCTTGGTGATGATGATGATTACTCCTCTGAGGTGGGGGCTGAGGAAGATGACGATGATGAACATGATGAGGGAGAGGAGTCGAGTTCCACCGATGAGATGCATGCTTGCTCCATTCAAAAACAACGCAACTACAGCAGGAATAGCAGAGATGGGTAAATGCACAGGCACACGATACTATACTATACATCAAACCCATCAATTATTAACGGTCTTGTCAATTCATGCAGTCTGAAAGTTCACAGGGAAATTAATGGGAGTCCTTCCCCCCGTGGATCAAGGGGTCGCCCTCGTCAGCAGCCGCAAACTGAAAGAGGTAGTTCCAGTAGAGCCAAGCGGCAAGAGAACCTGCGATGGGCAGCTGATCTGTCTCTCTCTGAGGGCGCGACACCAACACACTGGCAGGAACAGATCACACACCTCCAGAAACAGCTCAACTTCAGCACTACCATGTGCCAAACCTTGCTACAGGATCAACAGGTCAGAGAGTGTACAAAATTAGGGATACACAGATGTATCAGCCATTTGTTTAAAAACAGCCAATGATCTGAGCCGATTATTTCAAAATTCAAACAATAAATGTTGTTTTGAAGCTCTTAAATGTGGTGTGACAGATCGCTGTAGTGCCTCAGTTCAAGTGGCAGCGCACTTCTCTATTTGCATCAGAATGTTTGAAAGTATGTTTGAAAGTATGTTGAAAGATACAGTACAACCTTCTGAAATGTATCATGTCTCATGTAATCACTCGATCAGAGTTTCAGCTGTGAAAAGACAAATAAAACAGCTTGTGATCTTTGTCACAGTATTTAACACAGGAACATTTTAACAGTTTATAGTTGCATAATACTAATGTACCAAATGAGAGGGTTCCCTGTGTAATTTACAGCATTAGTTGGTAGAAATTTTGGTTACACTTTGTTTTAAGTAGTCCTTGTTACAGTGTAATTATACATTTAAGTACTGAGCAGTATTAATTAACTACATGTACTTACTAAATGGTTAGGATTAGGGTTACTTGCATGTAATTATGCATAATTTATAGTTATTATAATAGTAAGTACATGTAACGTGTAACAAGAACACCTCAAAATAAAGTGTTACCGAATTTTTTTTTTCTTCAGGAAAACCAAATTGTCAGATATAATTATATTGTATTGCCATTAGTATTGACATTCGGAATTGGCAGAGAAATTTAGTATCATTGCATCCCTATACAACATTTTTTTTTAACTTTCTTTATTTTTCTTACAACTTTTTTTATTTCCTCTCTCATCTCTAGACTCTTTCATACATGCTTCAGGCTCTACTCACAGGCCCCTATGGTGTTGTATCCAATAATGGGACCTCTCAAATCCCTCTTATCATGCACCAGCTAAACCAGTGTTACACACAGCTGGCTTGGCAGCAGAACAATGTCAATCGGTGGGTCTTTAGACTTTAAAATAATAAATATCAATTGGTAAAATAATTTAAGCATGAAGAATGAGGTATTTACTTTAGATACACTACAGTTTAAAAGTTTGGGATCAGGTTTTTTGGAAGTAGTTTTGAAAGTAGTCTCTCCAAATGCTCCCTAAATCTGCCTTTATTTAATCTAAAAGGACAGTAAAAACAGTAATAGTGTTGAGTAGCATTACAAATAACTGTTTTGTATTTTAGTATCTTTTTAAACTGTAATATAAATAACATCCTTTATTTGAAATAGAATTTTAAATGTCATTGTCTTTTGAGAGGGTATTTCTTTCAAGGAAAAAAAAAATACTGACTAAACTTTTAAATGGTATTGTAGGTCTAAACTTAAAGCAAGCTTTGGTTTCATTTGTTATAACTTTTAAACATTTTTTTTCTCCCCTCTGGTAGGTTGAAACAGGTTCTGAATGATCTGTTACGGCAGCAGCAGAGTCAGTCATTGTCAGGACAACAGCAACATCAACATTTTGGCCATGATTCTGCATCATCTTCTCTGTTCGTAAACTATCCTCCTGTGAATACACTCAATATGCCTGGACTCCCAAACTTCTCCAGTTTCCCAACTGGTATGTCTGTTATCTATTTGTAAAATTAGGGAATTTAATTAATTAAATGAACATTTCATAATTCCAGATGTATAAATGTTTAACTTCTAAACTTTTTTCTTTCATTCTTTTTTTTTTTTCTTTTTCTGGCATTAGGCTTTAATTTCAGTCCCATATTTCCCTCTTCAGTAGGAGATTTTCAGCAGAACCTGGCCAGTTCAGATCAACAGCATGATCCAAACATATCCCTCAAAACGGAATACATGAGTTTCCCCCCTCCACTACAGAGATCTCCATTGAATAATGCAGAGAAACGGTACAAATGTGTTTCTGTATTTTGGATTAAAGTGATATAATCATAATTATATTAATTGCAGTCAGGTGAAAATGCAAGGATTACCTACTTTGTGTTGCGTAAACTACAAAAAGGAAGAAAAACTGTGCCTAATCTTGTTAATTTTCCTCGCTTTACAGGTTTCAGTCTCAACCTGACAATGTGCCCGATGTGATGATGATGATTACTCCTCTGAGGTGGGGGCTGAGGAAGATGACGATGATGAACATGATGAGGGAGAGGAGTCGAGTTCCACCGATGAGATGCATGCTTGCTCCATTCAAAAACAACGCAACTACAGCAGGAATAGCAGAGATGGGTAAATGCACAGGCACACGATACTATACTATACATCAAACCCATCAATTATTAACGGTCTTGTCAATTCATGCAGTCTGAAAGTTCACAGGGAAATTAATGGGAGTCCTTCCCCCCGTGGATCAAGGGGTCGCCCTCGTCAGCAGCCGCAAACTGAAAGAGGTAGTTCCAGTAGAGCCAAGCGGCAAGAGAACCTGCGATGGGCAGCTGATCTGTCTCTCTCTGAGGGCGCGACACCAACACACTGGCAGGAACAGATCACACACCTCCAGAAACAGCTCAACTTCAGCACTACCATGTGCCAAACCTTGCTACAGGATCAACAGGTCAGAGAGTGTACAAAATTAGGGATACACAGATGTATCAGCCATTTGTTTAAAAACAGCCAATGATCTGAGCCGATTATTTCAAAATTCAAACAATAAATGTTGTTTTGAAGCTCTTAAATGTGGTGTGACAGATCGCTGTAGTGCCTCAGTTCAAGTGGCAGCGCACTTCTCTATTTGCATCAGAATGTTTGAAAGTATGTTTGAAAGTATGTTGAAAGATACAGTACAACCTTCTGAAATGTATCATGTCTCATGTAATCACTCGATCAGAGTTTCAGCTGTGAAAAGACAAATAAAACAGCTTGTGATCTTTGTCACAGTATTTAACACAGGAACATTTTAACAGTTTATAGTTGCATAATACTAATGTACCAAATGAGAGGGTTCCCTGTGTAATTTACAGCATTAGTTGGTAGAAATTTTGGTTACACTTTGTTTTAAGTAGTCCTTGTTACAGTGTAATTATACATTTAAGTACTGAGCAGTATTAATTAACTACATGTACTTACTAAATGGTTAGGATTAGGGTTACTTGCATGTAATTATGCATAATTTATAGTTATTATAATAGTAAGTACATGTAACGTGTAACAAGAACACCTCAAAATAAAGTGTTACCGAATTTTTTTTTCTTCAGGAAAACCAAATTGTCAGATATAATTATATTGTATTGCCATTAGTATTGACATTCGGAATTGGCAGAGAAATTTAGTATCATTGCATCCCTATACAACATTTTTTTTTAACTTTCTTTATTTTTCTTACAACTTTTTTTATTTCCTCTCTCATCTCTAGACTCTTTCATACATGCTTCAGGCTCTACTCACAGGCCCCTATGGTGTTGTATCCAATAATGGGACCTCTCAAATCCCTCTTATCATGCACCAGCTAAACCAGTGTTACACACAGCTGGCTTGGCAGCAGAACAATGTCAATCGGTGGGTCTTTAGACTTTAAAATAATAAATATCAATTGGTAAAATAATTTAAGCATGAAGAATGAGGTATTTACTTTAGATACACTACAGTTTAAAAGTTTGGGATCAGGTTTTTTGGAAGTAGTTTTGAAAGTAGTCTCTCCAAATGCTCCCTAAATCTGCCTTTATTTAATCTAAAAGGACAGTAAAAACAGTAATAGTGTTGAGTAGCATTACAAATAACTGTTTTGTATTTTAGTATCTTTTTAAACTGTAATATAAATAACATCCTTTATTTGAAATAGAATTTTAAATGTCATTGTCTTTTGAGAGGGTATTTCTTTCAAGGAAAAAAAAAATACTGACTAAACTTTTAAATGGTATTGTAGGTCTAAACTTAAAGCAAGCTTTGGTTTCATTTGTTATAACTTTTAAACATTTTTTTTCTCCCCTCTGGTAGGTTGAAACAGGTTCTGAATGATCTGTTACGGCAGCAGCAGAGTCAGTCATTGTCAGGACAACAGCAACATCAACATTTTGGCCATGATTCTGCATCATCTTCTCTGTTCGTAAACTATCCTCCTGTGAATACACTCAATATGCCTGGACTCCCAAACTTCTCCAGTTTCCCAACTGGTATGTCTGTTATCTATTTGTAAAATTAGGGAATTTAATTAATTAAATGAAAATTTCATAATTCCAGATGTATAAATGTTTAACTTCTAAACTTTTTTCTTTCATTCTTTTTTTTTTTTTCTTTTTCTGGCATTAGGCTTTAATTTCAGTCCCATATTTCCCTCTTCAGTAGGAGATTTTCAGCAGAACCTGGCCAGTTCAGATCAACAGCATGATCCAAACATATCCCTCAAAACGGAATACATGAGTTTCCCCCCTCCACTACAGAGATCTCCATTGAATAATGCAGAGAAACGGTACAAATGTGTTTCTGTATTTTGGATTAAAGTGATATAATCATAATTATATTAATCGCAGTCAGGTGAAAATGCAAGGATTACCTACTTTGTGTTGCGTAAACTACAAAAAGGAAGAAAAACTGTGCCTAATCTTGTTAATTTTCCTCGCTTTACAGGTTTCAGTCTCAACCTGACAATGTGCCCGATGCTAACAACTCTAGCTGGTTAAACTCCTCTCTGAATCGCTCTGGTCAGAGAACCACCCTCACCTCTGACCATCAAAGTCAAATAGAGCAGAACTCCCCTTCCTCCTCTCCTGTCCCTCACCCTTCCACTTCCCGGGATCTTTCTTACATACCTGACTCCCAGGAGTCTATAAGCAGCCTTCCAGATAGGGCAGATCCAACCATTGTCACCAAGACTTTCAGAGCAGGACGTAAGGCTGCAGCACAGGCCAGCCTGGCTTCTAGAGACAAGACCCCCAACACAAAGAGCCGCCGCAGGAGAGGCAGGGAACAAAAGGTCACAGGTGTGTATTTATTTAAAATTGACATACTACAAACTTAACAGCCCATTAAAAAGCAAAGTTTATCTCAGTCACATTAATTGAGTATATGGATTTCTTTTTTTAATTAGGCAAAGGAAAACTTAGTTTAAGTCACCCAGTTCAGTCAAATGGAGTTCAGTTTTGTTCTTCTCACTTTCAGCATCTGTGGACAGTGACAGTGCTTCGAGTGACTCTCACTTTGATCAGGACAGAGAGCGCTCCTCTCAGGTCAGACACAAAGATCTCAACCAGGGTCTGCTAGACAAACTCACACAGGAAAAATTGGACAGCAAGACCAAGAACAGCAAGCCAAATGACCTATCATCTGGTATGCCTTTTTATAGATTCTGCTACAGATATCATTGGATAAAGTAAACATATCAAGTAGAACTATACATATGTAGAACTGTGAGAAGTTGAACAGTCTTGTTATACAGTGTATACTAGGCTACTGTATATTCTTCAGCCAGAGAAGCATCTGCCACAACAGTATAGCAAGAAAACTGACTTTTCTCCATTCTTATTTAATTTGAACATCATATGTCCATATAATTTGAACATCTTATGTTCCCTGTGCCCTTATATTGTTTTATAGTGTTACTCATTAATTTCATTTTCATTTCTGTTTTTGTTCACATTTCATTTTGGGTTTTGTGCTTGGTTTCTTCACAGCATATGCTTGGAGAACACCTTTTCTCTCTAACAGAATTGCATGCACTGAAGTCCCAGGTAACTCCCAAGTTCATCAGCTGTTTGACCTGCTAACTACTTGTTAACATTTTTTTTTTTTATCGGCATGTTTCCTTTGTGTAATTTCTCTTTTCCTTTTCTAAACTGCATCGACTTGCATAGGAAGTATTAAGTGGCGTTTTAATTCATTTAAGCAGGCGTTTTAATTTTCAGGGCACAGAATCTCTCACGTAGATATAAATTTAGAAACGGAGTTGTATAATGTTAATTTCTATAGTCCAGTATCATTATTTCAAAACATTGGGACATTTGGGGAGAAGAAATGGGAGTAATCTGCTGTTATTCATAACACCATTAACATCATTATTTTTTGTTATGGATGTTTTATACCTTTGCTTTTGAGTTGAAGTCACAGAACTGTGGATCTGAGCATGGTGTTGAGTAAAAACATCTCTTAAATTTTCTTGAATGTTAAGTGAGCATAGTGTTTTTGAACGTTGTGTGAAGTTCAAGTACTAAAGGTCTTGCTAATGATGTACTTGAAGTTATGTAAAACATGTTTGCGTACATGTTTAGTTTTTTGTATAGTTAGTTTGCACATACAGCAGTTGTTCTACTGTTGACAGTAGATTGTCTGTGTTCATCTTTCATTTTGTTCTGTCTGTGTGTATTTCTTCTCTAGATGTGAGCAGTGATTTCTCTCTGTTTGAGGCCCTGAGAGAGACGATCTACTCTGAGGTAGCAACGCTGATCTCTCAGAATGAGTCTCGCCCTCACTTCCTCATCGAACTTTTCCATGAGCTTCAGCTGCTCAATACAGACTACCTTCGCCAGAGGGCCCTCTACTCACTACAGGTACAGTACACAACAATCAAACTTGTGCACACTTCTACAGACACAACAGGCTCACATGAAGACTGGATGGTTTTCCACAATTTGTGTTGGAAATCTGCAAAATGGATTTAAATGGAAAATGAGTTCCTCAGACCTGAGAATGTTGAAAGAATGATCAGATTAGCCAAATGTACAAAACAAATATGCAGATGGCATGGGATGTTATAATGATATATACAGCTCTAGAAAAAATGAAGAGACCACTCCAAATCAGCATCTATTTCAGCATCTACATGTATGGCAGCCATTCCATTCCAGTGTCTGTGGACCGTGCTCCATGCCACACAGCTCGGTCAATCAAGGTGTGGATGGTGGACCACTAGATCAAAATCATGGCCAGCCAATCTCCAGACCTGAACCCCATTGAAAACCTCTGAATTGTGATCAAGAGAAAGATGGATGGCCACAAGCCATCAAACAAATCTGGGCTGCTTGAATGTTTGCGCCAGGACTGGCATAATGTCCCCCAACAGCAATGTGAAAGACTAGTGGAGAACATGCCAAGATGCATGAAAGCCGTGATTGATAGTTATTCCACCAAATATTGATTTCTGAACTCTTCCTAAGATAAAACATTAGTATTGTGTTTAAAAATAAAAATGATCATGAACTTGTTTTCTTTGCATTATTTGAGGTCTTAAAACATATTTTTTTGCCATTTTCTGCAATTAAATGCTCTAAATGAGAATGTTTATTTGGAATGTGGGAGAAATGTCAGTCGGTATAGAATAAATCAAAAATGTTCATTTTACTCAAAAACATACCTATACTTTGTAAAACTATTAATTCTTCTTCACAGACCCTGACTTTAATACCAAAGGGCTATTTTCACTATATCAGTAGATCTCTTTTCGTAGTTGTGTGGTTTTCTTTTGTGATGACTGCATCTGTTTTTAAAGTAATAACCACATTTCATTGTTGGCTCTGACCACCAGGACATTGTAACAAGGCACCTGACTGAGAAGAGCGTGGCAGATGAGCAGGCATCTTCTTTGGGTCCGACTGTATGGGCCACAGGCTCCCAGTCAGAGCTCACACCTAGTGAGAGCTTGGCTACCAGCGACAATGTGAGACAAATGCTCACTCATCTGTTTTTTTTTTTTCTCTCTCTTTAATTATCACACAAGCTAATGTTGGCTTATGATTCCAGGATACATCTGAGAAGATTGTAACAGTTAAGTCCAACTCTGTACTGAAGAGGGCAGCAGATAGAGACTCGATGGACAACGAGAGCCTGCTGTCCACCTCTTCCAACCTCGAACCCTTTGCTAGTGATGACCTGGGTAAGAAGACAGAGCTGTATGCATCATGCCAAAAACACATTAGATGGGTTGCTTACCACAATCATGCTTGCTTTGCTTGGCTGGGGCTGTGCTGGTCTGAATCCTGTTGTAAATCTCTTGAATACTATTATGTTTCTCTTTCTCTCTCTCTATCCATTGATTTCCTTTCTGCTCCTCCAGGTAACACAGTAATTCATTTAGATAAGGCATTGGCCAGGATGAGGGAGTATGAGCGCATGAAGCTGAGGGCTGAGTGTAGCACAGATAACCCTGAGCACAGCCCTGGCGCTGCTGCTGGTGCCGCCTCAGCACTCACTCAAGGTACTGCTGTGAACAATCTCGGACTGCAGATTAGACCCAACATTCTGTTGCAAGTGCTTCTAACTGTGTGTCCCTACCAGATACAATGCAAAGTTCCATACACAATCAATTCAATGAGATTTTCGAGCATAGAAATCAAACAGCTAGCAAATGACTGATCAGAAACGTATTGCGTTGCATCTGCTTATGATGGACTGTGACTTATAATCATGGCCAGTGATTCTGTGTCTAGAAGGAATAATCCAGGCTTTTTACAATCTAGTGACTATGTATTCACACTTGTGGTAGTCTCTTGATTTTCTAAGGCTGCAACTTTGACGTGTCCTTCAGTGTGGTTTAATACATTCTTCTACCGAGAAAACAAGTCCCACATGAGAAGGATAATTTGATAATTAATTTTCCCATTCATTAGGGTGAAAATAACCTGGAATGTTTCTTTAGTCTGAGAGTTTGCTATTAATGATTATGGGGATGTTTATAATTAGTACTGGCTAAAGCTCTGCTTGCTTTAAACGTACATATAATGAATGCTTGGGTTTTATACTCCTTCAAGTAGACCTAATTGCGTTATAATGTATTTTCTGTGTATGTGTGTCAATGTCTGTTTGATTTTAGGTGCAGGACATTCATCTACAGATGCACATTGTCCTCAGATTGACACGCAACAGCTTGACAGACAGATCAAAGCTATCATGACAGAAGTTATTCCTTTCCTAAAGGTGAGCTTGCTCTGCTTTTCTTTTAAAATGTTCAAATAAATTAACCATCAAAGTAGCAGTTCATAAACCTGCTGATTTGCTTTGTCTTTCTGTCAGGAGCATGTTGGGGAGGTGTGTTCACACCAGCTGCTCACATCTGTGAGACGCATGGTGCTCAAACTCACTCGACAAAATGACGAAAGCAAAGAGTTTGTTCGGTTCTTCCACCGACAGCTGGGCGGCATCCTGCAGGTAAGCACATTTGTAAAGTTTTAATTTGTTTAAATTAGCTGTTAATTTATAATTTATTTATTTATTTATTTATTTTTTTTAAGTTTACTGTTTGTGTTTTTGATATCGATATTGGTATCAAAAATTGTGAAACTTCCCTGTTATATAAATTTTTGGCATTGTAATAACCTTATTTCCAGCAACAACAAAAAAAAGTAATGTACTGTCATCGTGAAATATAATTACTCATATTGTGCACACATTATGAATGAAATAAGTTTTTGTGAAGAACAGTATTTTTGAGAATCATAAGCGTGTTTGAATATTTAAACATGATGCCCTAAAATGTAGTCTATGTAGGTAGTCACTACTAGCTGGATCACAGCCTGCATTTCATTATAAATGCTTGAAGTGTAATAATGACCAAGATGTTGGTTTTGTGCACAGGACTCCTTGAGTAAGTTTGTTGGGCGGACGCTGCAAGACTGCGGTGAGGACCTGCTAGTAGAGATCTCTGAGATCCTCTTTAATGAGCTTGCCTTCTTCAGACTGATGCAGGATTTAGATCAGAACACCTCCAAAAGCAAACACCGAACCAAGAGGCGCTCTGATCGAACATCTCCAAAACACTCACCTCACAACGAGGTAGGCTTGAGTGATTAATCAGCGTCATGTGTCTGGAACAATGCTTCTGTGTTTGAGTAAGTAGAATGATGAGTGTGTTTTTTATTTAGGAGGTGAAAACTCTAGAGAGAGAAAATACATTCTCCCCATCATATTTTGATGAAGACAGAGTAAGTTATGATTGTTGATACACTTACAACATTCACGTTAAAACACTAAGCAGCTACACTGCTTCTTAATCTAAAGCCCCACTGTTAGCTTGCAGTATCAGTATGAAGTGACGAGACAGATTGAGGAAAACACCTTCTATTGGTTGTCCTTACTGATTTCACACAACAACAAACAGCAGCTGTTGTTCAACTGTTGGTGTTTATGATTTATTTTTTTATTTTTTTTGAATGTCATAAATTGACTTTAAATGTTTTTTTTGGTTTTTTTATCCTTAGGATCAGGATGAGACTGAGCAGGGTGGGATGCTTCATGAGGGGGAAGAGGACAAGGAGAAAGATGCACAGAGCAGTGAAGCATCTGAGGTGGAAGAAGAGGAGGGAGAAGCGCTGCCTCTTTCTATAAGTAAGTTTATCTGAAACAGACAGAAACAGGAAAAATTAGCTTGCCTTTGGAAAAAAAATACAGTACCGTAAAAAAAAAAAAGTGGGTCACTTTTGCTCACCATGGCTGTTTATTTGATCAAAAATATACTAAAAAGAGCAATATTATGAAATATAATTACAATTTAAAATAAATTTCTAGTTTCCTATTTTAATACATTGTAAAATGGAATTTATTCATTTTGCGGCCAAGCTGAATTTTCAGCAGCCATTTCTCTTGTTTTCAGTCACATAATCGTTTAGAAAATCTTTTGACTTTTGATTAGTTTTATGTTTCCTTGCTGAATTCATTTTTACCGGAGCTGATCGCGGCCGCTCTAGTCAATGCTTGTGTTTATACCGGCCAACCACGGCACGTTTCTGAAGCGGCTCTCTGTGCTGCTTGGCTAAAAATAGACTTTTGTGAGTTGTCACAGCGTGGAGGACGGAACAAAACCTCGTCGGAGTAGTAAGGGATAACGGTAACATAACACGCTGATCATGGGCTGCTTTTAAATGAACATTTATTTATAAAACAAAATATCTTCTTTGGCCATATTAGCCTACTCAATAGCATTAACACAGGCTTTACTCCTTTCAAACTTTATCTGGAATGTCACCGTTTCTGTCACTGCAACTTCAGGTGAACAAACACACACACACAAAATCGTCTGCCTCATGGGAAAAAAAAAAAAAATGTAGT